TGAAACATACTTGTAATTATTGTTTTTATAACTTTGCCTTTTTTCATTAAGGGACAAACAGAAGTGAAGATGTTGAATTTATTTTGTAAATAAATTAACTCTTATTGTTTTTTTTTTAAGCAAAAAGTTTTTTAAGCAAAAATTTACCACAATTAAATTATAACTACTACTGAAAGTTTTCTCAATATATATATATAATAAACATTATATATAAATATATATATTTTTCACATTATAATTATATATATATAATATATATATATATATATATATATATAGGTGGTCATTATATATATATATATATGTTTTCTACATTATATATATATATATAGTTTTCTCAATATATATATATATATATTTATATATATATATATATATATATATATATATATATATATATATATATATATATATATGCATTATAGTATATATATATATATTAATGCACTACAAAACTGTACATCTTGTTTCAACATTAAAAAAAAATTTTTAACGTTTCATCAGGTGCGAAATGACGATGATACTAAAATATTTTATTCCAAAATGCAGTTAACAAAGAACATCTTCCACTTCTATCATTGGAAAGATTCCCGTAAAAGGTAAAAAAGAATTTACATGTGGAGAAAGAAAAGAAGATAAGTGATTAGTAACAGTGAGCGAGAGAAGAGAAATAAAAGGAAAAAGGCCAAGAAAAGAAAATAAATGTTGAGAGAGAGAGAAAAAAGGGGGGAGGGATGTGAGGTAAACTAAATTTTACAAATTCAACCAACTGTATTCCTTTGAATCATAGAATTCAAATTTTTATGGGTAACATAGCAGGGTTAGGTTAATGTTTCTAAGAGAAAAGCTTCCTGCGCCTGGAGACACATTCATGAAATGTAAAAGGGTACTACAGTATTTTATGAAATGGACTTTCTAATATAGATTAGAATACTAAACAAATTTTAAATCTTTATATTGTCATATTAATTATACTTAACCAAATTTTACTTTACAATATGAATTAGAATACTACATGCATTTTGAACGATTATTTTTTTAACATAAAATATTATTAAAAAGAAAAATAATTCAAGTAATATAACAAAATAAATTTTTAAAAGATAAATAAGTGGTGAAATCAAGATAGAAATAAAGGTAAAATAACATTAAAATTAATATTAATCTTCAAATTTCAAAAAAATTAAGTTGGAAAAGGGAATTGATGTTATTGCATGAAGAAAGGTAAAAAGAAGAACAAGAGATATAGATGAGCTTGGATCGAAACCCGACCGAGTCGGCGTCAGTCAGGGTTCTTTACCATTGAACAATCAACACTCTATTGAGAGAGAATGCTAATTTTATGTGTACTGTTTTTACGAATGTGGATGAACATTTTAATTTTTTAAATTTCAATATTATTATTATATTAATTTATTAATATTAATTATAAAGTATTATTAAAGAGGTTAAGTAACAATGTTTAAAACAAATAATGGATAAATAATAAAAGTACCCAAAATATAATTAGGATTATCATATATTATGGCTAACTTACAGAAGCAAGAATAAATTAGAATATATTTTAGGTCTAGAGTTAAATTTCAAAGTAAAATTAAAATGAAATATATAATACAAGTACAACTATGGTATATTGACAGTGGTTACGGTGCTATGTTTATAAACACAATAAACATAAGAGGATTCATTCGTAGATTAGAAATTTCTTCAGCAGGATGGTAAGGTTAATTCCTTTGTATGTTTACAACTTATTGCCATTTCATATCTCTGATGCAACAAATTGTCCTTGTTCAAGTATTTAATTATTTGTATTTTCTCTTGCAGGCGGAGAAAGCATGACTCGTTTAGAGACCTCAAGATTCTAGCTTGTTTTAGGATTTTCCATTTAACTTTGGGTGTTTAATCTTTGTCTTTTAATTCCCAAAAATACTTAGAAAGTGAAGTCATGCTTCATTTATCTGCGTTATTAAGAGATGAGATATAGTTATAAAAGAGCTTTTTGAAATCATTCATTGTATTACCAATGTAAAAGTGTTCAGAAGTGCTGGGATTTTCAACCGAGGTAATAGTACACCCGTATACTATGGATTTTGTTAAACACTTGCTAGATAATGGGAACTGGTTGGGATTTTTACAATTACACAGGTTATTTGTAAGAGACCCAGTAGGGTCAGCCCTAGTATACCCATTACTGTTGTTATATAATTTCAATATTTTTGTGTTGTGTGATTTAATTATTTTTTTCTAAGTTATTTGTGCAACTATAGCTAAGTTTTAGAGTGTTACAGTTGAAAATTTTCCTCAGAGAGCTCTTCTTAGGAAAATGCTTTTCAACTAATACTACGAATTTATGTCCTAATTTAGTGCACACTAATTGATTGTATGGACGATTATACATTTTTCTGTTTATCTTATTGGAATGATCATAATTTTCCACAAATTCAATTTCTGAAGATTTAAAACCACTATACTAAAGAATTTTATCATAGGCCATCTTATGCTTTTCAAATATATCTTTGCTGGAGTAGTGCTGGTTAATTCCCTGTTCTACTGATGATGGAATATGCTTGATGGTGGGTGGTTAGAGCTAAGGTGAATATACACTGGGTTAGCATTATTTTTCATGTAAGGTTGGAAATTATTGATCGCTAAATTAAATGTGACATCTAAGAAATCAACTTGTTTAATGTTAGCATTGGTAACTACATTGAGACCATACAATTTAAACACCCTACATATTATTTTTCTAAGTTTATTGACCTTACTTCTAGTATATTCCTTAACAATCATGAGACCATCATCCCTATAAATCCCTATACTGTTTATGTTAATTTCTTCAAATGCTCTAAGGATGTACAAGAGAAATAGACCCACTAAATCTGAAGATTCTGCAGAATCCAGAGACCCCATTGATAAGTCAAATTTATCTGAAGAATTCTTTATCCACTGTTCGTTTTTGTGTATTAATACTGATTTCATGCAGTTTATAATAATGTTAATTTCTTCTTTCGTAATGTCAGAATAAAATTCAGTAAATTCTAATGCAAAACCAAAAAGTTCCCTAGAAATAGATGGATAAAAATCGATGATATCAAACTAAATGAAGGTAAAATTACTTTTGTTTTCCAAGTTTTTAAAGGAGTTGATCACTTCAGAGGTACCCTCTCTACTGTATCAGGTTCAGTTGGTTAAATAAATATTTGCGGCTCTACTTTTGTATTGAGCCCTGTTTCAAATTAATGTTTTGAACGCTGAAATCATACTCTTCATTCTTTTACATTTGGATATATAAGTATAGGATTGGTGTATATGGAATAAATTCCAATAACCAAAAATACTATTCTTAAAAGAGTGCTCAATACAGAGTAGAGCAAATATAATTTATTCGAAAATTATAGCATAAACATGTTATAAAATCACTACAAAAATAGCCATTTTGTTTCAACACTTCTGGTGTCTTATCAAGGGATGGTGTTGAATGATATTAATTTTCGAATAAATTATATAATATGGGTGACAATACTTTCGGACCACGCTGTAGATACTTCCATTAATTTTCGTTACCTAAGGTTTAAGATGAATTTTTTTTAAATAACATGGTGAAGCTTTAGCCTTTAAAAGCAAATGATTAAATAAACAAAATACTCTGGTGTATTTCAAATAGGAACTAATTAATTGGAATGTCAACTCAACTTTTAGGTCGCTTTCAGTTAAAAAATGTTTGTTTTTTTTTTTAAATTTTATTTATTGTTATGAATGATAATTTAAATCTTAAAACCTTTTATTTTTTAATAACCAAACCTGTTGTTCTGTTAGTGTTACTGTTCACTGTTTATAATTTTACATTTGCATTCAGTTGAAATTTAAGAGATTTCTTAAACTCAAAATAACAACCGAAATCATTTTTCATTAAGCAGTTGTTAATGACTAGAGATCTTCTAGTGGTGTAATGCAAAATAAAATAATACAAAAAGGAAACAAAATATTGTTAGTTATTTAGATAAAAAAAAAATAAATTTGATAAGGTTGGGAATGGTTTGATTGTGTTTTTTACTTTTGAGTTTTAAGACATTTGAAAATAAATTAAAAAACTTTTCGACAAGTGTATAATAAAAAATGTGAAATGTGACTAATTAAATAATAATTTCAATCTAATTTATTAGTAACTAAATTTTAGTTAATTGCTGTATGAATAATAATTTTTAAAAAAACATACAATATTGTTTCTTAATACACAAATAAAAAATAAATTTAGATATATTTAATAAAAAGGCACAAAAAAAAAAACTTTTTAAATTAAAATTGTAATTTAAATTTTATAAAGATGCAAGATTTGCCGGCGATCGTATCTTTTTTCTTTGTTTAAATTTAAATTAAAACAATAAAGAATGAATTTATCAACACAAAACTGTAATATTTTTTATGGTTTGTTGTCTAGAATATTTCTGTCATATTTTAAATTAATATAAAATTAATTAAACGATGTTAATATCAGAGATTTCCAAGCAAGGAGTCATCACATTTTTCAAGGGCGCTAAAAAGGACAAGGAATATTTTTTTTAATTTTATAAGTCCTACAAAACAAAATAAATTGTAAAAAATGTGGCAAAGTCGATGTATATTCCTATTTATAAATATAATCTCAATATTAGAAAAAAAATAAACACTATAAAGATATTTTTTATTAAACATTTTAAATTTTATCATCCTGAAACAGTTAGTTGTTTGAATCATTATTTCCCGCAACAGTTTTCTAATGAATGTTTTTAAAAACATCTATTTCAGAAATAAAACGATAATTTCTTAAATTCTATACCTTTTTTAACGGAAAATCTTAAATAAAATGTAGTATGTAATAACCCAAATTATTTTATTTTTGTATAATTCAGTTTTCAGTAACGGATGGTCACTGGTCTGGAAAGAATGAAAAAATAATGTAGGTGTCATGGATATTCAGTAAACCTGGAACAACAAAAAAAATTATCTATATTTGTACCAACCTAGAAGGGCGTGGTTACGGTGCAAATGTCTCTGTGCAATAGCTACAATGGTAGGTTCATTTCGGGCCGAAACGGCAAGGGTCAGTCTTGACAAAGACCGACCCATGGTAATCCGTAGGAAAGCAGATGCCATTTCTACTGCTGCTGCCGCCGCCGCCAAGGTCACTGGGACCGGTGAGGAACAATTAGAGTTACTTCCCTTGGCTTGAAGAGGCTCGGCCTTCACCTTTTCTGTCTTTCGTCTTTCTGCTGTGTCCCCTTCAGGACGAGGACGATCATAGCCCTGCACAACTTCCTACTCTTTTTAGCTTTTAGTAATGGACTAACAAGAAAGAAATATGTTACAAACTGGATAAATGATTCACTTTTTTACACATAAATATATATATTTTTTTTAAATTGACATACATTTTATTAAAAAAAAATCTAAAAACTAAATTATAAAATGTGTGCAAGTCTGATAAAAATGTGCATAACTATGTGTGCAAGTATGATAAATTAGACAAATCGATTTGCCTGGGATTTATATTCTTTGAATATTAACCCAAGCCCCAGGGAGTTTCAAAAAAGGTAGTACCCCTCCTGAGGGGGCTGGATTTATAACCTGGTACCTGAGGCATCCCCAAAAGGGGAACTGCCAAGGGGGCTTGGGAATTTTTGCGCGTTAAACCCACTTTAAACTTTTACCTTGTGTCACATCCAGTTGCAACATGGGCACTCTGGTAAATACTATAAATCAGACAAAGTGGAAAACTGTTTGGCTCACTTGGCTACACGTTTCATCCTCGCTAGATAGCCTTCTTCAGGTCAGAAGGAAAGAAATCTGTGTGTTCTTCAATAGTAAATCGTTAATATTTTTTGCTAGACTGTCAGAATGAAACAATAAAATTGTGTGACTTTTGTTCCAAATAACATAGAAAACACCAGCTTTAGAATGTCTTTGGAAATTGTTTATTTTTTTTTTTACATTCAGACACAAAACTGACCAGATATGGATTTTTCTGGGAAGAATTTGCATTTATAAGGCACTATTTGGCTTTGCTTGATCACCAAATGTACTCCATGGCTAAGTTGGTCTAGAGAGCATGTCTTAAAATGGTTTCTTCTACAAAGGTGGATACAGTTTTGAATCCTGCCCAAAAGTGCATATTTTTCTTTAATAGGATTTCTTGAATATTTGGAGTGGTAAATGAAAATAAATAAATATACATTTTTTTGTGTTCCAATTATCTGTTTGTATTTAAAAAAATCCCACAAAATCTTGCATGTTTTGTTTTTTTTCATTATGTTTATGGTCATAATGGTACAGGGTTAAAGAAGAAAGCTTTATTCTCCCTTTCGTATTTCCCCCATTATGAGCATTATTTTATCTGTGATATAATAACACTGTACTTCATGGACAGAATGGAATAGCAGAAAGGAAAAGGAATGATAAACATGCTTTGTTCTCAAAGAGATTTTTATACCACTAAGACATACACAAAACTATATATATATATATACATATATACACATGTCCCACATGGAGAATAATATATTACATATATCTACATGACAAAGCAGAGCATAAGGAAAAACAAAACAAAATGGTCTTATATATATGGAAATACTCCTGTGTCTAGAGAAGTCATTTTTAGGACTCCAGATTTAAACAGGCTGGATTCATCTAATATGTCCCAGAAGAGAACATATTCCACAGCAAGTCTTGGGTTTTCCCAAATAGAGGATTGTGGTCTGGAGTTTCTTTCTATATCTGGGAAAGATATATTCCCAAAGGGAAATGGCACCATGTAAGCTGATGGGAAGGCAGATTTAGCCTCTGCCCGGGACATGGGATGCCGGGCTAAAGAAAGCAGCTTTTCGGTTTGGTTGCTGAAACAAACTGAAAAGTCACTGCTGTTTTTGTCACTGTATGAAGTGACATCCCTAAGTGGTCTGTCACATGACCCATGTGACTTATCTCCACCAAAGGGAGATAATCACCTTCTATATCCTTTCATGTTTGCACCATTCATTTTCTCATTAAAAATCCTGCTTCTCAAATGACTTCTAATGGATGAGATTGGTTACTTGATCATGTCTCCACCAACTAGACTCATTTGAAGCTAAACTTGGGCATTTATTCACAATGGGTGCTATAGTTTCATTGAATTTCCTCCATATTCTGCAAAGTGATGTCTCTTTTTTATTTACATGCATCCTGATATTATTTGTACTAATATCGTGAACTGCTATTATAGTACTTTTGGTTTCAGTCTTCAAAAACCTCCTTTTCAACAAATTCCATACTACTTTGCTTATTTTGAGGATTTGAATCAACCCACAAAAAAGGAAATGTGAGGAAAGTATTTTAAATATAAAAATATAAAATATTTTTATTTTTTGTGTTTTTACAACTAAATTTTTCTTAGCATGTATGAGTATTAAAGTTTTTTAAGTCCTTGTTTATAGTTGTTTTATAGATGAAAGAGATGTAATTTCTCCATGTGCATGAGTGAAAAAAGAGAAGCAAAGGAGAAAGTGAAGAGGAAAAGAGTAAGTGTCATGTAGCTTGGTGAGGAAGAGCCTAAGTGTCACATGGCTTGGTGAGGAAGATGGGTGAATGAGTAAGGGAATCTCTTTGAAGCCACCACCATGAACTGATGTCAGTTGTATCCATCTCTATCTCCTTACTGGTTTTGTCCGCCTAGAGACTTTACTTAAATACTCTTCAAAGAGATCAGAAAGCATGTTTTTTATTATCAGAGGGAATGTAACCTGTTGGTTGGAAAATGTTAAATATTTATTTTTAAATGATTAATTTAGTTAACTGAAAGGATGTGCAGATCCTCTAACTCAGAAACGATTTATTGTGTCATTTGTCACTCCCCATCTCTACTTCCTTCTGTTGCTTTTTCAAACTGTCCACGCAATGTTTTCTTTCCCCTTGTTACCTTATATGGTCTTCTTGTATTGCTTTTGAATTTCCTTCACTTATTCCCATTTTCAAAAATTGTTCCTTTTTCATGATTTTATCCATTTCTCATGGCACTTGTCCATGTAATTCTCACCCAATCTTCAACTGAAATTAGCCATCTTCCTCATACACACCTCTTAAGATACAACCTGTTAATATCCACTTATGAATGCTGTGCACCATGTATTGTTAAGCGTTTCTGTGTTTTGCTATCCAGTTCCTGCAATTCTGAACAAGCCCAACCAACGATGCCTACAGCATAATGTATTATCATCAGGGTTCAAGTATTTTTTTTTAAGCATTTCATCCCAAGCAAGGCAGGATACCACAAGTACACAAGGGGTTACAGAGTGGGAGCGAGTGTAAAGAGGCGTGATGGAAGAAAGGATGAAGAGAAGGACAGAATAAGTCAGAGCATCTGGAGATGTTGATTGATATTACATTTGAACAGTTGGAGATTATACCTATCAGGGAAACATGCAATAGGAAGGGAGTTCCACAGACGGGAGGTGCGAGACATGAAGATATTGTTGTAGAAATGACGGCCACATTTAACAGTTTCAATAGTGAAAGGGTAGGACTGTGAAGTCAGCTTAGTAGCACACTTAAATTCATGCAGTCTGGGAACTAGCGAAAGTAGCTTGCCGGAGCAATTACCATGAAAGTATTTGTAGAAAAGACAGAGGGAGGCAACGGCACGTATGCGATAGAACGATTGTAGACAAGATGCCAGATCAGAACCAACCACATTGCTTATCTGTCTCTAGATCTTGTTGAGGACCTTAAGGCGAACAGTTAGTTTTGACTTCAGTCTCTTACGAATGTTCCTGATGTAGTATGTCTTGATGCTATCTTTCATTTCCCTATGCTTTATCATTTTTTTATCTAAAATATCAATCTGTGCCCCCCCCCATCTTTCTCTATTGACTTCCTGATTCCTCCATCAGGCATCATGATCTCATAATTACTTGCAAACCCCACCCCTCTTCGTTATCAAAATCATGCATTTAAAGAATGTAAACTTCCTTCTGATGTCTTACTGCATGTATACAAGACAATCCAATTGTTTTTCATGATTGGAAAAGAGTTTAAGATCTTCTATAAATAGAATACTTCCATTGCCTTGAACCAGGTTATAGAAACTTTTGTCTTTTGTAATAGAAAAGTGATTAGTATCATTGTAAATAGCAATGGTGACAAGATACATTTTGATGCTCACAATCCATTAGCAGTTATGCTATACCATCAATTCAGGATTCCATTGTTTCATACATTCATTGATCAAACTAATAAAACATAAAAAATTTCATGACGGAGAAGAAATATCTTAACATTTTTTATTTTTAAATTATTAATCTACTTTTTATTTTCAAATTATTCTATTTTTAGTAAATATTTTTTTAAATTATTAATCATTTTTCTTTTTTAATTATTAATTGCTTTTTTGATAATATTTAAATCTTTTAATTAATTAATTTTGATTTTTTAACTATTTATTTTTTAAATTATTTTTTATTTACTAATTAATTTTTTATTTCTAAACTAATTATTTAATTTTTTATTAATTTTATTATTTTAACTATTTATTTAAATCTTTTAATTATTAATTATTGAGTTTTTAACTATTTATTTTTAAAATTATTTTTAATTATTAATTGATTTTTTTATTTCTTATTTAAATCTTTTAATTATTAATTTTTTTTTTTTAACAATTTATTTTTAAATTATTTTTAATTGATTTTTTATTTCTTAGTTATTTATTTAAATTGTTTAATTATTAATTTTATTTTTATCTATTTATTAAAATCTTTTAATTATTAATTTATTTTTATTCTTTTAACAATTTATTTAAATGTTTTATTATTTTTGATTATCTAAGTATTTATTTATTTTCAAAATTATTTTTTTAATTGATATTTTATTTCTTAACTATTTATTTAAATCTTTTAATTATTAATTAATTTTTAATTTTTTAACTATTTATTTATTTTTAAAATTATTTTGTAATTATTAATTGATTTTATTTCTTATTTAAATCTTTTATTAATTTTTATTTTTAACTATTTATATAAATCCTTTAATTATTAATTGATTTTTTTACACAATTTATTTATTTAAATCTTAATTAATTGATTTTTTATTTTTTTCACTATTTATTTAAATCTTTTAATTATTAATTGACTTTTTATATTTTTAATTAATACTTATT